AAAAAATATTAAATTTTAAAAATAATATTATATTTTTAAAAATAAATATTAGAAAAAGATTTAAAAATATATATAAATTATATTTACATTTACAAAATATTAAAGATATATGTTTATATCTTTACATATTTTTATATATATTTATATGTTTATATTTTTACATATCTTTACATATCTTTACTAACAATGGTTGCACCATCGCTCGAGTGATATTAGAGTCGCTCAAGCTGAAATACAACCCGAGAATGCCACTTTTGTGCAGGGGCGTTTCGCTCGAGCTAGAATTTTTCGCTCAAGCGAAATACATTTTAGATAGCGGTTAGAAGGGGAACCGCTCTTAAAAGCTCACTTAGATAGCGGTTAAACTGAAACCGCTATTATATGGTTTCAATTATGATCTAGTCGAATGCGCTTATGACCGATCATAATTAAAACTTACATTAACTATTTTTTTATATTATGTTTTTAAATTTTCTATTAGAGAAAACCTTTCAGAATTTAAAATATTAAATACTTTTAAATATTAAAATTAACTTTATAAAAAATTAGGAAAAAGAAATTAATCCAAAAGAGTTCAAAAATGTATTATAATATTGTCAATTTTGAGTTTAATTATATTGTTCATTCTCAAAGGAGAAAAATATATTGTAATTATTTTAATTTAATAAAATATAATTTAAAATTTTAATACTAAAATTAAAAGATTAAATAATAATAAATTTAATTCTTTAAATTCAGATAGCTAGAAACTAAAATTATAGTTTCTCTGTTTGAAATAATTAAAATAAATATTTAAAAATAAAAATCAAAACTAGTATTATCTTAAATTTATTAAAAGTGTAATTAAATCTCTATTTTCTTAATTTTATTTGTTTCGAACTTCTCAATTCTACATTTTTGTAAGTTCTATCATTATATTATCATCCTCATCTCCTCCCATGTTCTACTTTATCTTTACAATAGTCAATATTCTTAACTAATTTATAGTTTTAATTATAATTTTTAGTATATATTTTGAAATTAATCAATTCTAATCTATTATTTGAAAAACTAATCAATTCTAATCAATAATTTAGAAAACTAATCGATTATAATTAATTATTTGAAAAAATTATCAAATATGATCGGTCATTTTGAAAATATAATCGATCGAATCGGATTTCGCTTGAGCGAGAGTAGTCTCGCTCAAGCGAAATACACCTCAGATATCTAATATGCACTTTAGATAGCGGTTATGAGGAACCGCTATTATATCCTCTCAATTATGATCGGTCATTTCAAGTTATGATCGATCAGGATCGTATTTCGCTCGAGCGAGTAGTGTCGCTCAAGCGAAATACAACCCGAGAATGCGAATTTTGTGTAGTTGGAGTTTCGCTCGAGCGAGAATATTGTCGCTCAAGCGAAATACATTTTAGATAGCGGTTCCACAGAACCGCTCTTAAAAGTGCACTTCTAATAGCAGTTAACCATTAACCGCTATCTTAATTATACTTTAGATAGCGGTTAAGGTGGAACCGCTATCATATCATCTCAATTATGTTTTGCAAAATGCCTCTACAAATGTTTTTAACAATTAAAAACAAAGTATTTTGACAAAAGCTTTCTCAAATGTCTCTACAAAGTATTTTTAACAATTATATTGAGTTTAATTCTACAAATTAAAAGATTAAATAATAATAAATTTAATTCTTTAAATTCGAGTAGCTAGAAACTAAAATTATAGTTTCTCTGTTTTAAATATTTAAAAATAAAAATCAAAACTAGTATTATCTTAAATTTATTAAAAGTGTAATTAAATATCTATTTTCTTATTTTTATTTGTTTCAAACTTCTCAATTCTACATTTTTGTAAGTTCTATCATTATATTATCATCCTCATCTCCTCCCATGTTTCTACTTTATCTTTACAATAGTCAATATTCTTAACTAATTTATAGTTTTAATTATATTTTTTTAGTATATATTTTGAAATTAATCAATTCTAATCTATTATTTGAAAAACTAATCAATTCTAATCAATAATTTAGAAAACTAATCGATTATAATTAATTATTTGAAAAAATTATCAAATATGATCGATCATTTCGAAAATATAATCGATCAGAATCAACTATCGCTCGAGCGAGATAGACTCGCTCAAGCTGAAATACAACCCGAGAGTACTAACTTTGTGCAGGAGGCGTTTCGCTCGAGCGAGAATGTTGTCGCTCAAGCGAGATGACGTTTAGATAGCGGTTACACAGAACCGCTCTTAAAATATGACTTAGATAGCGGTTAACCCTTGAACCGCTATTATATGGTTTCAATTATGATCGGTCGAATGCATTTATGACCGATCATAACTATTTTAATCGATTAAATCTCGTTTCAATCGATTAAAACAGTTTCTGCACAGCGTTTTAATCGATTAAAACTTATTTTTATCAGTTAAAATAACTTGAAAAGTTTTAGGAGAAAGTTTTGCAAGTATTTCAATCGATTGAATCGCTAAACAATCGATTAAATCAACTTAGAAGATTTTTTGTAAAGTGTTTTAATTGATATAAACGTTGTCGTATCAGCTTAAAACAAATCGATTAAAGAATCAAGAACGTATTAGTGGATTAAAAGAAGTTTTAACAGATTAAAACTGCACTTTTAACAGATTAAAATAATCTTTTAACAGATTAATTAAACCAAGCAGTTTTGAAAATCTTCTATAAAAACAAGTTTGGCTTGAACTTTTTTAACATACATTGAATATATCATCTTTAAAAAATAAATAAATTTATATATATATATATATATATATATATATATTTTTTTTTTTTGCATTTTAATTTTCAAATATTAATTTTTTATGAAATTAATTTTAATTAAAAAAATTAAAGTGATATATATATATATATATATCCAACTATTAAATTATTCAAGATATTAATATAAATTTAAAATATCAATTCAAGTAATTAAAATAATTTTAATTTTTTATAAATACATTGAAATACATTTTTATTAACATACAAGTAATATATATATATATATATATATATATATATATATATATATAAAGAGACTAAATTAATAATTAATTTAATTATTGATTTAGTGATCGAATCGATGACCGAATCGAGTGACTGATTCGATGACCGATTCGATGATCGAATCAGATGACCGAATTAGTGACCGATTCGATGATCGAATCGATGACCGATTCGGTGACTAATTTAATAATAAATTTTAATTTTTTTATTCACATGCTAAATAAAAAAATAAAATCAAATAATTATATTACTAAATTATTTAATAAGTTAGTAAACAATTTTTTTAAAATATTTATAATGTTATTAAAAATGTTATCAATTATTTTAAATTATTAAGTAAATTTATATTTAAAATATTTTAAATAAAATATTTATATAAATGAAAAATTGTTATCAGTGTAAAAATTATTTTTTTAGTGATCTGAAATTTTAGTCACTAAATCGAGTTACTAAATATAAAAAAAATTAATAATTACATAAATTAAATATAGATTAATTAAAAAAATAAATTAAATAATAAAGTGACTGAAATAGTAACTGATTTTATGTGACTGAAAATTCGGTTACTATTTCGGTTACTAGACTAAAAAATAATAATTTGGTTATTGATTCGGTCACTGATAGTAACTAAATTTTTCGGTCACTGATTTCGGTTACTATTTGACATTTTTCTAGTAGTGGATGAAGAAAATCTCCTTAACAGTGAGGCAGTTGTGATTAGCAACATAAACTGTTAATAAGCTCGTGTTAAAGAATTGTAAACTTTTAATTAGCATCTCATTATCATGTATTAGACAATTCTGCAGTGACGAGCACTTAAAAGCGCGATAAAATTCTTTAGATGGAAGTTGATTTTAGAGACAAGATCCAGACTCATCTTTTTCTATATATAGAGTCCGACATAAATTACTTAAACTAATTACTCCACTAATCACCTAATTAAGTTAAGAGTCCTGCTAATTATTGTCATGATGCCCAATTCTTTTCCTATGCAAAGAAAGATGCCGCTGCTGTCATGAACATTTATGATCATAACATGTAACTACTGATAAGCCATCAAATGGCTCTCAATGGAACCTGGATATTAAAAGAAGAAAAAAAAGAAAGAATGCAAATATAAAGTTACTATAAACTTTACACGGGTAAACTTGTTAAAAGCCATGATTTCTAATAATGCGCACTCAATGCACCTTGAAGATTACAGTTAAACTCTTTAATTTTTTATGACCACTTTCTTACCGTCCAAAATCATAATAATGATGTCAGTTTTTGAACAAGATTGATTCATTGATTACGCTACAAACAACATTCAAAGCATTCATTATGTACGTGCAAAAAACCCAGGATTTTTTTTTATTTGGGGGCAAATAAATAATCTATAATATTTTTCATATAAAATAATTTAAACTTTTACAAATACATAATATTATCATAAAAATAACTCAAATATCTATTGTGTTTGCAAATTATAATTGTTCTATACACAACTTTGTATTTTAAAAATGATGTAGAAGATTTTATTGTCAATTCTATAAAAAATTTAAAAGGTAAAATTAATATCAATTAGTTTTTTTTATCTCTTATGTAAAAAATTTCTCACGTGATAATTTTTTTTTTATGTGGGGGAAATATATTAATATAAAAACAATACTAACACACATTTTTGTAATTTTTAATACAAAATCAGGAGTGCGTAATTGGCTTTTTCCTTCTGAAAAAAAAATGTACTTATTTTACCTGCCATTATTGTGGTCGCTTTTTACCATTGAGGTAATTTATAAAAAAAAGGTGGGGAGGGGAAGAAAAGGTTGATCAAAAGCGTATTCTACAACGCTTGGACATTGAAGTTTGTACCAACTAACATTGCTAATTCTGTTTTTCACTATCTACCGTTATTCTCTATGCACAAAAATTACAATATTACTAAAAAGAATAACTAACTCTCGCACGTGCAAGACAGCGCATGCACGTGTGTTAGAATTCCGTTAAAGAAACATTCTTCTTAAACCTACACGACGGCGATGGCGACGGCGACGGCGAAGCCGGCAACGATCTTCGACTCTGAAAGTAATCCCTAATATTCAAGCCACGATTCCCGGCCGAAATCATCTCTAACGACTCGGCGGTGCCGTCGTCTCGAGACGGAATGAACGGCGGCCGCACCACCTCCGTCAAAAGCTCCCACTGCACCCCTCGGAAGAATTCATGCTCCTTGATTTCATCAGCGCCGCGCGTGTAGCCCAACCGCCTCGTCGGATCCTTCTTCAGTAGCTTCTCGATAAGGTCCGTCAGCGCGGTTCTCTTCCCGACGAACTCCGGCGACTTCACGAGGACGTTGCGGAACGTTTCCTTGCGATTCTTGCCTTTGAACGGCGTGGTACCGTAGAGCATTTCGTAGATGAGGATTCCGAGGGCCCACCAATCGACCGCGAACTCGTGACCGTCGCCTCGGACGACCTCCGGCGAGACGTATTCCTCGGTGCCGACGAACGAGTTGGAGCGTTCGCCGTTGGAGAAACTCAGTTTTCGTCGACTCACCGGGCTGACTCGCGCGGACTTGGTCTTCTTGAGGGCGTTGAAGTTGGCGTGCCTACGAGTCCCTTCGAGGGGAAGATGAGGGATCCAGCGGGAGAAGTTGCGGCGGTGTTTGCGGCGGGGTTCTGGGAGTTTGAGATTGGGGTCGGGGATCAAAGGAAGGAGGGGTTTAGGTTTGAGGGTGAGTTTGCGGGAGAGGTCGAAATCGGTGAGGGTGACGTGGCCGGTGTTTTGGACGAGGACATTTTCGGGTTTAAGGTCGCGGTATGCGATGCCCATGGAATGGAGGTGGTCGAGCGCGCAGATGATTTCCGCTACGTAGAAGCGGATGACGGCGGGGGAGAAGGTGCGGTCGGTTTGGCGGTAGCGGAGGACGTTGAGGTCGCCGCCGGGGCAGTAGGGTAGGGCCCACGCTAATAACTGTGGGGACTCGAATGTTCCCATGAGAGAAGGGAGGAAGGGGTGCGAGAGGGTTGAGAGGACTTGGATTTCCCAACGCGCTCGGCGTTCCGCGTCGAGCTTCGCGTGGAGGCACGTTTTGTCCACCACTTTCAACGCGAAGTGGGACTTGGTGGTTGTGTCGTGGACGAGGAAGACAGTCCCCATGGCACCTTTTCCTAGGACTTTGAGGGCTTTGAGGTTGTCCAGGTCCAGCTCCTGCGATGGGGGAGGAGCTGTTGTCGCTGAATCCATTTAGCGCGGATGAGAGAGGATTAGAGATTAATGGTTCCCGTTCTGAATTCAATTCGGAGCTTTCACTTTTATAGATACCCTATTCTTTTCTTTCTGTTATGCTTTTTTTTTTTTTTTCTTTTTATTATTTTATTCCCTCTTCTTACTCACACTCTTACTCCATTTCATCACCATCTTATTCATCTCGCCTTAACTTTATCCTCACCAAAACACTATTCTATTTTTAACCTTTTACTTCTGCTCTGTTGTAAAATGGTTCTGTTCAACTCAACTTTTTCCTTTTATCGTTTTTTTCTTTCCTCACATTTGTTGTCTCTTTGGTTGTTTTATACATTATCTTGAAATGTACGTGTCTTTGATAAGTGCATGAAAGTCAAGTAAAACACGCAAAAATATACGTTTAAATCAACAAAAAAAGACAATGTCAAATAATTGTTTTTTTATTGAAAAGTATTTTGATAATATGTTCTACAAGACAACACTGGTTTCGTGCAGATGAGATGAGGAAATCACTTCAATAATACTCAAGGGCCTTGCGTTCTTTTAAACAAAATTTAGGGTGGCATGGCATCTACGTAACATAATTCAGATGCGTCTAAATTCATTTATTACCATTATATTAACATGCTATACGTCTTAATTAGAATAATAATAATAATAATAATAATGACAATAGTAGAAATAAAATATAAAAAGAAAACGAAAATAAGATATGTTGACTTATCTTAAGACGATAATGAACTCAACGTGTAAAGCAATTCAAACACACTTTTGATGGACTCAATACATAAAGCAATTCAAAATATTCATTATGTTTCTTAACTTGAAACTCCAAGAGGAAGAGATAGAAAAGAAGAAGATCAAGAAAAATTGATTGATTCATGGGTTTTATATATATACTCTCTCGATTTTTTTAATCCCAAGACCCCTTTTTCATGATATGTGATATCTTTTATTAGGGAGAAGAGAGTGTTTTACCCTATGGTGAGATTTCTTAGGTTAAGCAAAAACTTTTAGTGTGGTTAGACAGTTTATTTTCAAGATAGAGGTTACTTTGGTCTATAATTTTAGGTCTTTCTCTTAATTATTCCCATTATGCAAAAATTATATCAATTGATTATGTCTAACTTAGTTAAGATATGGCAAACTTTTTATGAGTACTAAATAAAAAATAGAGTTCATCAACTTAATTAAGACATGACAAATTAATTTTAACAATTACCAGACACTAATTGTTAAGTTCAAGATAACGAATCCTAGAACCGAATTATTAGAATGAAAAAAATTATAATCCACATAGTACATTGCAAAGGTGTAAAATACTAATTAAAGATAAAATGAGGCTCTTCAATAGTTGAATAAAAAACCATTTAATTTTTAATACGAGTAGACGATGAAGAGAAGAAAAAACAAAAACAGAAGATACATTTTCGAAACTTGTGAAACAGAGAAAATGTTTTTAATGGTAACAATAAATCAACAAAGTTTAAGAAAAAAAAAAAAAAAACAAGCATGAGTGTATAATGAGGAGGCATAGAGTGATTCATTTGTAGAAATGAAAGGAAGGAAGGGGCACACGTGCAAGACAAAAATAAAAAGACGCATAGAGCCAAACAAAAATGATAAACACATATTGGTGTTACGATTATCACATGAGGGCTCCCATAATCTAAGGGGAACGTGCATCCAATATCATTTTCACTACAATTTCTTCCCTTATAATAAATAAAACACCATTTATATATTATTCTCTCTAAAACTAAAACAAAAACATTTTGCGATCATAATGTTAAAGATTAATTATTATATTACCAAATTACACCTTTCAATTATTTGATTCCCATGTGTTACTAAAGTAACAAATGAATTTTTTGCAATGATTTTAGGGCTTAGTGCTATAAAATACATTGGTGCAACTATACGGCTAGGAATTCATTGTTTTGTCTTTATTGTCGCCGTTTTCATACCTTATTTCGATTTTTTATATTCCTTATATGTATAAACGAGCTACTTGTGCATCACGTTAAGTTAGAAAAATAAAATATTTTAGGGTTGAATATTTTGTAAGTGAAGAGTTGGAAGTGGAAAATATAATTTTTGAGATAAATTTAAATTTTACTTTGTTTGTAGTGATTAAAAGACAACAACGTCAATGGAGTTTCACGTATTCGATATTTCATTAGTTAGAATTTACGTGACAACTGGTATTCACAATTCCAAACTGGTGATGTTCATAATCCGTTAGGTGGTTTCTGAATTGGTGATGGCTTTGTCAAAAGTGTGGGCTTTATGCCAACATAAAAGATAAATTAAAATTAAACTGTTGTTAAATAAAATAGAAATTAATATTTTGTAGACAAGTGGAGGACATAATCATCATGCTTCCTTTGACTTAACAATTGCCAAGCTTTTGATTCCCAAATTTTTCACTTCAAATTGTGGGTTTTAGAAATTGGGTTTCTTTTCTACGATTTATGCTTTTTAAGTTCTACGGATATTTTTAACTATTATATTGAAATATTTAAATTATGAAAAAACTATTTACAGTACTACCTTTTACTTTAGTGTCTCAAAATTAACTTACTTTTCCTATGATTTATATTTTTCAAGTTTATCATGTATTTGAACATTACATAGAAATGTTTAAAGGAACCATTTATGAATATAATTTAAAAAATATTTTTAAAATAAATAAAAAATACTTCATATATGCTTCTTTTATACATGTGTCATATTTTTTTAATAATATTTATTATTAAGACTATCAAAACAAATGATCGATCATACTAAAATTTATCAATTAAATACGAAAATTTATGATCCAATTTAATATATATTTTAAAATGAAAAATATTTTTTTACCTAATTTACTCTTATATTAAACTTTCAAATCAACGAAATTAAAAAAAAAACAATTTATTCATAGCAAAATAATTTGTCCTCAAAACTTATGAAAAAATAACTTAGAATATACAATTTTCTGTATAATAAATATATATATATATATATATATATATATATATATATATTAAAATATTTTTTTATTTTAAAAATTTTTATTTTATAAAATTGATTACTTCATTTTTTATGTGAATATGATAAGGGTTAGATCAAGGGAAACAAATGAAGCTCTTCAACAAGTATTGTTGGTTGACCAAATTGTGTTTTGCATTAATCAATTAATGGACTTTAGTTAGTTTTATTGCAAGTTGTAATAAGGGCCCAATTGAAAATTTAGTTATCAGTCTTTAGGAGACCAAGATAGTGCATAGTTGATTGACTTTTAGATGCCACAATTTCAGTTACAATCAATCATTAAGTAGTTTTCAATTCCTAGGTTAATAAATCATTATTAACATTTATTTTCCTTTAATAAATATTTGTAACTTTGATGACAAAGTTTCTTTATAAGCTGAATCATTTTTATCAGAAATAACAAGTTGAGTTTTATTTTTAGAAATATTAGAGTTTATCTCTTTTATCCTAATGAGAGTGATTCTCCTAAGTTCTTGAGTGATTCAAGAATATTTGGCTGTATCAAAGGACTTTCACATCCTTTGTGAGTTGCCTTCCTTGGAAAGAGTGGTTCTTTCCTTTCACCTTATCACTAAATTCCTAAATTTCCTACAAGGTTCTAACCTTAAAGATCCTAAATTACCCCTAGTGATTCATATCATTTGGTATCAGAGCCTGGTTTAAGGGTTTAAACATCAAATTAATGGTAGAAGAGGAAAATTACAATCAAGAGAGTATTGGTACAACATTTGGAAGGATTAATGATACGACATAACAATGAGCTTCATGAAAGATTGAACTGGTTGGAGAATAGAAATCCTAAAGACGAAGAAGAAAGGAGAAATAAGAGAATTAATGATGGAGTAGCAAGACCAAATAGGCTTGAAGGAGTCAAGCTTAACATTCCTCCGTTCAAAGGAAAAAGTGATCCGGAGGCATATTTGGAGTGAGAGATGAAAATAGAACATGTTTTCTTATGCAACAATTATGAGGAGACCCAAAAGGTGAGGCTTGCAATAACGGAATTTTTTGACTATGCTCTTATTTGGTGGAACAAGCTACAAAAGGAGAGATATAGAAATGAAGAGTCAATGGTTGATACATGGATTGAGATGAAAAAGATCATGGGGAAGCGGTATGTGCCGGCTAGTTATGCAAGAGACTTGAAATTTAAACTCCAAAAACTTACTCAAGGCAACAAGGGGGTTGAAGAGTATTTCAAATAAATGGATATGCTCATGATTCAAGCAAAGATTGAAGAAGATGAAGAGATAACTATGACCCAATTTATTGGTGGTTTAAATATTGATATATGTGATATTGTTGAGTCGTAGGAGTTTGTTGATATGGAGGATTTACTTCATAAAGTAATTCGAGTGGAGTAACAACTCAAAAGAAAAGAAGTGACTAAGAAGAGTTCTACCAACTTTCGATTTTCAAGTTGGAAGGACAAAAGCAAGAAAGATGAGACTGTTACTTCTAGTAGTTTCATACCTATTCCTACAAAGACTCATTTAAAATATGAAGAACAACCCTCTACAAAAAGTAGAGATGTAAAGTGTTTCAAGTGTCAAGGTCTAGGACACTATGCTTATGAGTGTCCTAACATAAAGACCATGGTTCTTAGAGAGACAGAATATATAAGTGAATCTGAGGTTGAAGAGGGAGAAAAGAGTGAAGACATTGAGGAGGAGATTCCAAAGGGATATTTATTGATGATTAGGCGATTATTTGATAGTCAATTGAAACCTATGGAAGAAAGTCAAAGAAAAAATATATTTCACACTAGATGTTTAATCAATGACAAGGTGTGCATGATGATCATAGATGGAGGTAGTTGCACCAATATGGCTAGTGCTAGATTAGTATCAAAGCTAAATTTAGCTACCAAACCACATCTTAGGCCATATAAACTTCAATGGCTTAGTAAGGATGGAGAGTTCCAAGTGAGACAACAAGTTGAAGTGGACATTTGCATTGGAAAA